AGTGTAGGGAAACGGCTCTCAGATTATGCCAAGTCATGTGGAGTTCCATTTGAGTTCCACAGTGCTGCAATGTCTGGATCTGAGGTTGAACTAGAAAACCTTGTGATTCAACCAGGGGAAGCTCTGGCTGTGAACTTCCCTTATATTTTGCACCACATGCCAGATGAGAGTGTGAGCACTGAGAACCATAGGGACAGGCTATTAAGATTGGTGAAGAGCTTGTCACCCAAGGTTGTGACCCTTGTTGAGCAAGAATCCAACACCAACACTTCTCCCTTTTTCCAAAGGTTTGTTGAGACCTTCAGTTATTACACTGCTATGTTTGAGTCAATAGATGTGGCCCTCCCCAGAGATGATAAGCAAAGGATCAGTGCAGAACAACATTGTGTTGCTCGTGACATTGTCAACATGATAGCTTGTGAGGGGGCTGAGAGGGTGGAAAGGCATGAACCCTGGGGGAAGTGGAGGTCAAGATTTTCAATGGCTGGTTTTGCACCATGCCCTTTGAGTTCCTCAGTCATGAGTGCAGTTAGAGGTATGTTAAATGAATTCAACGAAAATTATAGGCTTGAACATAGAGAAGGTGCTCTCTTTCTAGGATGGAAGAACAGAGCTATGTTCACCTCTTCTGCTTGGAGATGTTATTGATCACTTGCTGTCATAGGAGAAATTATCAAATAGTTGAGGACCACCAAATGTCCATAGTCTCGCCAATCTTTATATGTCATATATTTAAAATTTTCAATTTACAAGAAAAATTTAATAGTACTTAATTATATGTCATGTAAAGAGTAGTTATGGAACATGTCTCCTCTCATAGATGTATGTATATTTTCCCCTTGTTCCTTTTTTTTTTGACATTTGGTCATCGTTTAGGATCGTATCTGTAGTTTCTCAACAGGACTAGAGACTTAAGCTCTCTTGCAACCTTTATCCTTTTACCTTTTGTGGGTCATACAGCTGTCTTTGAACTTGTTGTACATGTCAATACTAGAAAGAACGAAAGAGAAACCTCATAGTTATTGACGTGCCCTCTTTAGCAGTTTTTTTAGAGTTTAATATATAGTAGTTACTTTGAGATGAGTTGGTTGCTTCTTTTACTCACGACTTTATTTCCTTTTCCTTCGTTTATATCTTTAGAAGCTAAAGTTTTTAATTCATGCACATGCATGGACCAGAAGGGTTTGGTCTACTATTTTTCTTTCTATTTTGAAATCAAAAGACAGCGGGTATAATATAATTGGGTTCCATGTGAGATAATCCCTTCATTTTATTTTGTTTGATGTTTTGATAACTTTTGTATGATTGAATTTGATTGTGGTTTTATAATATCAATGTAACATTAAATTTTTTTTTCTTTCTATTGTAGCATTAACTATTATTAATGTATTCTTTAATTAATGTATTTTTTCTTTTCAATGGTGTGAATCCAAAAGGATATATAATTCTTTAATTAATGTATTTTTCAATACCTATTTTAATTAATGTATATTTGAAAGTTATATAACTTTTTTTTTTGTCAGGTATATTAATTATATTTCTTAAATTTTATGTCAAAATTTTAAACGTGAAATAAAATAGAATGAATGGAGTATTAATAAATGAAGTATTCATTAATGTACTGGTTACAATAATGTAAATTGTCCTCAATATATGTTGAAAAACATGACATTGTCAGATTCCAAAGAGAAAATGTATATTAAGAGATATTGAGAAAAGTCGGTAATTTCTATTATCGATTGAAATGATAAAAAAAAAAAAATGAAAGATGAGTACGAGGCTAGATTAACCTTATATACAAGGTGTAAGTCTAAAATCAACCAATTTTTTAATCTTCTAATTTTTGTAATTTTTGTAAGAAGATACTCGTGTGGAAAACTTGTCAGATTCGGGGGAAAACATTTTCACAATAGTTCTTAATTCCTATATGCAAAGGCAAAACTCATGAAAAGCTAGTTAATATCATAAGTCGTGCGTGATATACTACCTCAAGATAATAATATACCTAACCTAACTTTTCCACAGTTTTAACAATTTTCATTTTATTATATATTAGTAAGATCAAGGCACTTCATGTCTCTATTAAAAATTAAATAAAAATAAAAATTAAATAATAAAAATATGTTGTTATATAATTAATATTTTTTCTATTTTTTTAAATGATATAATGATAAAAAAAAAATAGAGACCAAGTAATTACTGAAAAAGATATCCTCTTTATATATTAATATAGACAAGATAATATTCTTTCAGGAAAAAATACATTAAATAATAACCGATGATAAATAACTTCATGCAAAAAATGTAAAAGATGTCGTTATTCGTTTCGTGCAATGTAAAACGATTTTAAATAATCTCCCTCTTTTTTCGAGATTGCTACTAAATTTAAACAAATAACAGTCGCATTGATTACAAGTTAAGAGAGGCATGTTGGACCTTGTATATAGTTTCAGATTCAGGTTTAGATGTCAATCACTGATTTGGAAAACTCCATTGAACGGTTATTATGGGATTCAGAAGCAAGGGAGGTCCACGAACCTTGTCATGCAAATCTCAAGCAAAAAAAAAAAACAAGAAGAAATTTTTTTTAAAATATTTTTATCATTCATATCCCATGTTTCATTTCATTTTAATGCCTTATACGTACACATGCAGATTGCTTCGCTGTGTCTCCTCAGTATTCATATTCGCAGTGGCAGGTAAAATGTCTTGCGTCCCAATCTACATTGTCAAGTATATTATTTATTAACCTTTAAGAAAATAATCCTTGAAACTTCATTGTTAAATTTTCATGGATGAACCTCTTGTTATTTCATATGTGATGGTATCAATTTTAGTTTAATCATCATGATTAATTGATTATCATCCATGACTTTTGCCAGATTTCCATGAATTCTATTTTTATTAGATATGGATGCCATCCATGTGAAATATGCATGCATCATACATATAATATAAGTTTCATCTAGATTCAAAATTCTTGTTTCTTGTTTTTTGGTTAGGGAAATACATTACCATCAATGATTTGCTGAGGATCAACCCTTGTTACTTATCCAAAAAGAGAAAAGAAAAATATGTGGGGTGCTAAGAAGAGTGATAATTATAAGGGTGAGTGAGCATATATGGAGTTTCCAGAGAGAGGAGATTTAAGAAGAATGCAGAGAGAGCAAGAGAGGGAGAGGAGGCGCATCCGTGACAGGCAGAGGAGACAATCAATGACTCAAGAACAAAGGGAAAGACATCTTGCAAGACGCCGCAGAAACTATCAGCTAAGAAGACAGAGAGCTGCAAATGCTCATGCTCCATATACTCCTTTTCCACATCTTCAACCTCTAGAATCAAGTGCAGGTGAAGCTAGTACTAGTGATGAGTTTCAAGGTGTCACTTCTACCTTTCTAGACTATGGAGTCCTCTCCCAAGGCATTGTTTTCCCTCATCATGGCCTCAACCAAGGACAAGAAACATTAAATTTTGGAGCCAAAGTTGGTGAAGGTATTCTTATTTTTATTCGTACACTAACTCCTCTTAACTGTTTAGAAGATATAACACTGACATTGTTTAAGCATTACATTAATTCTCCTTAATTGTTTTAAAAGCATTGCAATGTATTTCCTATTAAGAAAGTTGTTGTAAACATTAAAAGACAGAAAAAATATGTCAATTTCACAAAATCTCAGGAGTATTATTATAATTTACTAATTCTAATTATGTCCACAATCATAACACAATACATTCCTTATTTATTTAAAAATGAAACAAATTTATGGTTCATTTTCTTTTATGCTGTAATTTAACCAGTAGGATCATCAGTTCCCTTGGAAACTCTAGTTTATAAACCAGCAAATTCAACGCGGAGGATGCGTCTGAATCATATTAAATGTCTTGCGAGAAGCCTGACACATTCGATAGTTGACCCTGCTGGTACTCACCAGGTTGCAGCAGAGTTGATAGCTAAGGAACAACAAGATGTCTCAATTGGTAATTTTGGTGAGATGTTATTTGATTAAAGAGAAATGGCTAAACAAAAATGTTTTTAGTGTCTTTCGTTATTATTAGTTTGGTTGTTCTAAAAAATTTCAGGTAGCACAACAAAATCATTGCGTTTGAATTGTGTGAAACGCCTTGCCAGATCAAAAACTTCTCCCATAGAGAGTGCAGGTCAAAAGGACCTTAAATTGCAACCAGAAGAGATTCAATTACTAGGAAATGAGAGCTTCATAGCCTCTAGCTAACTTTCTGAGATAAAAGCAAATAGTGAACTCAAAGGTAAATAAATTACAAACAATTGCATATCTATGAATGTAATTGATACATAGTTAAAGTAGTTACCTTTGTGGATTAAGTAATGTTTAGTTCTTGTTAAAATTATAATATAATGGATTTCAGGTAAAAGTTTATCATTTCCTTTGAGGAGAGAATGCGGTAGCAATTCTCAGTTGACACTAACATATTCTTATTTAATAAATGTGAGTTTGCATTGAGCTAATATTTTTTTTTTCTTTTCTGATTTATCTCCATTTTTATTATGATATTGAATGAATTTTGTGGTTGATTTTGATAGCATACACACAAAGTTGACATTGGAAGGAATTGACTGCAGCATGGTGGAGAGAATAGTGATAATCAACGTCATTCTTTTATATTTTATTGGTCTAGCTGGTAGATGGTGATAGATCTTGGTAGACTGATTTTTTCTTTTTCTTTACATGTTAGTATAATATTGGATAAGTATATGATGAATTGCTTTCTTTGTATTTTCTTTTTACTTTTCCTTTTTCATAAAGTTGAGATTGATTCGAATTCTCGTGTTCACGGTGAAGAATTTCACCAATTGAACAAATTAACATCTTTTCACATTATTATATAAATATACTTTACACCCTGTTAATGTTATGAATCTTATTCTTTTTCTCTTTTTTTCAGTTACGTACTATCCAGCAATTGCATTATGCATGTATTTACCTAGTTCTTACTACATTTTTGTCCCTAATGAATAAAATGAAAAAGGCAAATGGGTAGCAATAAGAGCTTGAAAATTGATTTGTTGAAGAATAATACCTGGTGAACGGGATGGGAAAGCAATTTTTCTAACACTTAGTCTAAAAATAGCCTATAACTAAGATCTTAAAATACATAGTTTAACTTTAACAGCAAAATCTAATTATTTATTTATATGCTAAAATTTCTATTTCTATTTCTCAATCTAATATTTCATTTTACTGTCTATTTGTTTTTTCCTCATTTTGTTGTACAGGACTATAGTTAATGATTTGTTGTTATTTTTTTATAATTAGTAACGTGAAAATAGTTAGATATAAGTAACAATTCTTTGTTTCATTTGTTGTTTAAGTCGTTATATAAAAAATAAAAATTTTACAACTTCTAATACAAATTACATAAACTTTATTAAAAGTGGTCGGTTAAAGATTTAAATAAAAATTTATTCATTAATAAAATGAGTCGATTACTACTAACAAGGAAAAAAAATTATTAAGTCTTAAAACTATTTAAATTTGACCTATATATCATAAACTTTGTTTCAAGATTTCTCCTAGTGGGTATTAAAAAAATTAAAAGTCTTCATAAATAAAAGTTATAGTTTTAAACCTATAATTTTTTTCCCAACATATATTATCTAGGTTAACGTAACTCTCCTTCTTCTCCTGGATGAAAGTTTGATTCACTTAACACCACTAAAATTTTGAACAACTATGAGTCACCGTAAGTGCAATTGCTTTGTTTGAGTTTGAATTTTGTGAGTGACAAAAATATAATTGAGAAAAAAGATTCATTAAAGGTCTAGATTTTTTAATAGATATTAATTATGAGTAAAGTTACATACAACAACTTCAATAATATTATTTTTAAGTCTATTTTTTTATCACTTCATTTATTATAATTAAAGAGATATATTATTAATGATGAAGAGATAGACACAAAAGTGATGTTGAACAAATTTTGTTGTATGCGTAACATTCTTCATTAATTATTGAGAAAGTTAAAGATAGTATTGTATAAGCACTATATTTTCTTTATATTCATCATTAATTTGTTGTAGTAATCAATAAATTTAAATAATTATTGTAATATTTTGAATTTTTTACTAATATAATTGTTTAACTATTATTTATTTTTATGTTTATTAAGATTATTTTTTTATAATTGTTTTAATTAATTAAAAGAGCTTTATAAAATATTTTATAGACTTTTAATAATTATGAGTGTTTTTAATAAATGTTTGCAAAATTATTTTGTATGATATTTATTAGATATATATATATATATATATGATTTTGTTATTGGAGAAAAATATGTATTTTTATTATAATTATAGTTGTTTTATGTAATTTATTTTAATTATAATTTTGTGGGGAAAAATATATTTAATTTATATATTAGTTATAAGTTTTAATAATTGGGAGAAGGGAAGTGTAACCATGGTTAAAATATTTTTCTAAAAGTTTGTTAGAATAACTTGTTTAGGAAACTTCTTAATATTTAAATGTTTTGTTGTACTTTTTTATTGTATTTTCCTTAATGCTATAGCTTAGGCTTTTTAGCCACTTTAGTTTTTTTGTATTTTTTGAACAACATCTCTATTTATAATAGAAATATGTATGAGAGATACTGTTTTACCAATCTCCTTCAATATTCAAGTAGCTTAAACGTGAATTAGGAAGTTTTTAAAAGAGAAGCTTTAAGAGTGGGGAGTCTTCTCCATTCTTTTTTACACTTCGTGTTCTAAAGAACGGGGAGAAAAACCAAAGATCGTTGGAGATTATTCTAGAGATTTGTACCCTTTGTCTAGCCTTCATCGAAGTAAGGGAGAGTGAATATTTTCACTTTGGACGTAACATGTATGTTGGATAGTAGGATTGATCTCCAATCATGTTTCTTTATTGTATGTTTATGTATGAAAGGGGTTTTCTCAAATATTTTTTGCTCTTGAATTTTAGTCTCCCTTATGATTATCTATGGTTAATTTTGTGTAGTGATACTTGTTATACATTTGGGTAAATTGTATGAGGAGATGTTATGAGTATTCAAATATGGAAAATTGAGATTGAATTTGAGTAACCAATGGTATAATAAAGTAATATTAGACTTTATGATTTTACCAATTAGATCGAGAGAATAGAGTTTGGATGTAAATTGTGTTTGATTCTGAAAATTCAGGTATGAATATACATTGGTATTTATGTGATTTTTCTGTGTGTGATTAATGAAATTGAGTTCTAATTGTTGGGTTAGAAAGTAGATATTTAGAGCTACAATTTAAACCTAAGAATCATATAAAAATATTAAGGAATGACTGAGTTATGTGAGTTAAAAGATAAATTTCATGTTTTGTGCATGAATGTAGTAGGCGTACGTTGTAAGCCTTTCGAGTAGACTTAAATGTCAAATTAGGTTTTGTAATCTTCATAAAGGTTGTAGTCATGGATGTTAACTTTCAAATCTCGTTGGAATCACCTAAAAAGAAGGTTTAGAATAATAAATGGTATAACTAACTCTTGAGGTCAATATAGAAGTTAGAGATAATTATCATGGTTTTCTAAGAAAATTAAGATCAACTTGATAATATAGTTATAACTCTTGATAAGGTGTTTGGACTACTCGATGTCTTAAAATATTGTTATGAAAATGTAGTTTGTGGATGGTGATGATGAATAATTTTACCCTCTAAGTGTTTGATCTTATGATTACTTTGAGGTATCTATATTAGTAATTAGGAAGGAGAAATCATGAGAAAGGACAATTGAAAATATGTTATGATATGAGTTAATTATTAACAACATGAAGTGTTTTGGTGATAGCATTGCCAAAAGACTTAATGTGTGATAGTGACAAAGTTGTGAGACTAGTTAAGTTATTGATTTAAATTCTTAGTGACATTGATCTCTTAGTGACTATGGTTGAAGTGCTAACATATGATTAGACAATCTCATAATGATTCATTCTTGACATGTATTGGATGATGTTATGTAATCATTGTACTACTGAATGTTGATCTCTGGTTGTAGTGTGTGAGCATGTCATTGATATGATTATTGTGTTGCATATGAGTTGATTGATATGCTTTGACATCGATACAATTAATGTGTATAAATCCTGTGAGAGTCATATGATGAGAAGTCTAAGCAAGACTTACCATGATATGATATGATAAGACGTGTGATATATGAATTAATGAGAACATATTAAAGGTTATGCATAGAGTCTATTTGACATGCATTATATGCATAAAAGTATTTTAAGGATACAATATGATAAGACATGTGATATGTGAATTAATGAGATTACGTGAAATATTATGCACAAAGTCTGTTTAACATGTATCACATGCATGCATAAAAGGGTTTTTAAGGATACGATATGGAATACACCACCAGGGAGGTTCCCTTGTGTAACAACTTGTGGATCAATTCTTGGGGATAACTTGGTTTGAAAGTTTCAATCTCGCCCATTGTGTACATGAAATGCATCTTGTGTGACTCAACTATTCCGATCAAACCCTGGTAGTATATTCTCTTAGTGAGAGTACATTGAAGGTGTGATCCGACATATACTCCTAAGAAACTCTACGTGTATTGTTAGCAGTGATGCACAAGTGTGATGTGTGATATTTTTACTGGCACTACATGCATGATAACACGTAATCTGTGTCCACTGCATAATGCATCTTCATGTTATGTGGTATTTAATTGTTACATTGTGAATGAATGAAATATGTTATATGATCGATAAACTTATACTATGTTGATATATGTTTTGTTTGTGTTTGATTGTCCAACTACATTTTTTATTGTGCGTTTGAGTGAGATATTTCTCTCTCCCCTTGTCTTGTGTTGTTCTTCTTATATGTTGTTGCAAGTGATCTTCAACATAATTTTGAGGATGTCGATGACGAGGATTAGTCATCATAGAAGGGTTATGCTCTGATATAATGTGACATTGAAACTTAGTTAGGAATTGCCTTTTTTTATTATGTTTTGAGATAATTGATAATTTTCTTGTATTAGTTATTATTTGATTTTGATTTTGTTAAAAATGTGGTACCTTCTATATTGAACATATTAGATTTTATTTAGGAAAGACTTCTCTATTCAATTTTATTTATTCTAGTACTTATACTATGTAAGGTAGAGGATGTTACACCTATAAATTTATTTTTTATATAATTAATGTGGGAGTTATTTTTTCCTTTATGATGAAAGAAATATGTTTTTAAAATAAAAACAATTTATTACAAAATACAATATAAAATGGTTGTATTATTAATATTTGTTACTAAAACCATGAATATATCTTAATTATATTCAAATGCAAATATATTTATACAGATAATTTTAAAAAATAGACATGTATATAAATCAAAACAATATAGAACTTATTTGAATATATATTAATATTTATAACTATGTAAATATATTTATACTTGTATAAAATTCATAAATACATTAAAAACTTACGATGGTATAAAAATTTGAAGGTGAATCACAATCAAATTAAGAATTCAAGTAAAATATGTAGTTTTCTTTTTGTATGCTTAGATAATTTTTCTTTGGGAAAGGTACTTTTATAAAAAAATAATAATAATAAACATGATTTCAATCCCTTAAATTTAGAATAAATTTATTTTTGTCTTTCAAATTTAAAATTATTTCTTTTAATTTTCTAATTTTTTAAAAAATTATTTTAGTCTCTTAATTATATAAGTAACAAATTCAGATAGTTATATAACATCAACGAAATTTAATATAATACTTTTATTAGCTAGGACACTAATAGATCGATTTTGTGTAATAATCATTGATAAATTCTAAAAAAATGAGTATAAGAATTAAATTTTTTTTTTAAAATTAAAGACTAAACAGACCAATTTTAAATTTGAAAAATTAAAAATAAATATACTTTAAATAAATCTAAAATGATTTGATACTTCATTTTTATAAAACAAAATTGACGTAATATATACATTTTAAATATAATAAAATATGAACACTTTGATTACCTTCGAGTTGTTGTTCAATTTTAATAAAATTTAATATACAGATATAAAGTGATATGAACTTTCAATCTAATGGTTGAATTTATAAAATTCATTTAATATAAAGTTATTAAACGGTGTAATACTTAGTAAAAATTACACCAATATCATTTGAACCCTCCTCATATATGAAAGTGAAAAATTCAAATAATTATATAACATGAACAAAATTTAATATAATATTTTTAATAACTAAGACACTAATAGATCGATTTGTATAATAATTATTGATAAATTCTATAAAAAAATGAGTATAAAAATTAAAATAATTTTTAGAAAAAAATTAAAGACTAAACAAATCAATTTTAAATTTGAGAAATTAAAAATAAATTTAGAGATTAAAAACACAAGGAAAAAAATAAAATTACATTTGTAAGTTTTTTATTTTATTATTATATGATCTTCATTGAACAGATCAAAGGAACAAACAAGGAGGCCCATAGGCCCAAATCGGCAAATACGCATAGCAAGAGAAACCCTATTTTAAATGACATTAATAGCTTATAAATAAACCTCCCTCTCTTCCCCTAAACTTATAAACACTCTGTCAACCTAAACCTAGTTTTCTCTTTGGCGCCGCTTCTCTGTTCTCAAATCCTTCCTTTGTTTCTGTGTATTTCTGAAATCAAAATTAAGCCAATGATGATATCAGTTACCAAATACCATCTTTCGGGACTGAATGGCTTCTTTTGCCTTGCTGTTATTCTGCAATTCTGAGGCTGCTTATTATTGTTTCATTATATGTTAGTATTTGATGTTGTGAAAATGACTGCTTTTGATTTGTGACTGAAATGGTTCTGAATTTTGTTGAAAGCAAACTTAATTGAAATTGTTTGTCATTTGACTTAGATGCTGTTATGAGGATGCTACATGTACCAAGGGAAGGATGTTGGCAAAAAAAAAAAAGCTATATCCTTCATCTTGAATGTGCCATAGCGGCTGTAGCTATAGCAATTCCGTTTGAGAAGCTATCTGGCCGGTTGTTGTGATCTCTGTCAACTAATCTGCTTACCGAGCTTTTCACATTTTCTGTCTATTTTATAAAGTTTAATTTTTTATTTTTTGTTTGACCATTCTGGAATTGTCATGAGAAGGGGAGAAGAGGAAAATTAGCATGATTTAGCTTTTTTCCGAGGACCCTTCTATCACGTTGAACACTTAAGGGTCACTTTCTAGGCATTTTGTTTTGATTTTCTCGAACATACTGTTTTATGTTTTCCTCTATAAAATTGAATTTTCCTGTGATTGCTTCATTATGTTGCAATGTGTAATAACAATAAGATCGCTTTTGGTTGCAAATACATTGTCTGAAACAAAGGGATCTCGCTACTTTTTTCTTTTGCTCTTCAAAACTTACTGTTTAAGCTGTGTCAGATGGTTAGGGACGGATGACCTAAAATATGGCATTTGTTGTAAGCTTTATTTTCTTGATTGGAATTTGGTAGTATGCATTTGTTTGCTTCTACTTCTAACTTGTCGATCCTAATTACGGTATAGCCACCAACCGATGAGGATATCATTTACCAAACACACCATCTTTCGGGACTGAATGGCTTTGTTAGGCCTTGATGTTAATTCTGCAATTCTGAGGCCGTGGCTATACAGTTTAATTTTATTTTAGTTCTCCCTCTTGTGCCATTTTATTTACAAAGATTGTTATTTTTGTTAAGGTATGAAGATTCCTCGAGATATCATTTTTATTTTTGTTTGCATAATATTGTATTATGTATGCATATGTGGTTTGCCATGATAGGAGGTGCCTCGAGAATGTATGGAAGGGAAAGGAAGAAAAGCTAATTTTATTTTTAAATTAAGAGAATAACATATGCAAAATAAATACATTAAAATGTAAGATGTTACATTATATGGATGCTTTCATATCCGGCAAAATTAATATTGGTGAAAAAATTTATGAACCTTAAAATGAACTGACGATAAAAAAAAAAAACATGAAATCAAACTTAAATTAGAGACAAAAACATTTCTGTATTCAAAGCGTTTCTCGCTCAAACCTTTTAAAGTCTCTTAATAGTGTTGAACAGTTATCTTGAAATCTGACAGTCGGGCAGAGAAGACGCTGAAACGACATAGAACACTATGTCCTTGTTTGTTCACCCTGTTTATTTCTTGCACTTTTAATTTAATTTAATACAAACAAGCCCCAAAAAATGATACTCAAATAGTGGTTAGCAAAACAAACTACTATTGGCAACATTGAAGACGTTATACTAATGGTTTAATTCATGCTTGTAAATAAATAATCTAACATTCTCAAATAGAGTTTTTTTTTCTTCTTTTTTTAGATTTGCAGTTCTTTCTCAACGTGTACAAAAAACCAGCATATCAATGACTTCTTCCAAGCATGAACTGATTCAGAGAAGACCTGTTATCTTCCTTGAACTTATTTCTTCGGCAAATCTCGGATGGTACAAGAAACGAGAAAAGGCACCTTCATGTTTCCAAGAAAGCCATACAAAAGTGATTCAATCAAATACTGAAAATCAAAACAATTAATTCTTTTTTATTTTATAGTTTTATTTAATTATTGATTACCATACCAATGTCAGCACCCCCTTCCCCTCCTCGCATTGTCTTATCCAATTATGTTGGACTATTTTAATTTCAAACGTTAATCTATATTTATCTCATTTTTCTACATTACTTTTTTATTTATTTACACTCAGATAACAAGTTTATATCTAAATTGAGATAAAATTAAGTATATTGCATGTTTTAAAAGATAAAAATAGGTCAATTTTTCAACAAAAAAAAAGATTTAATCCAAACTAAATCAACCTATTATCGATTGAGTTGACCTAATTTGGATTGCAGATTTTTTTATATTTATAAATCCAATCCAAATCAAATCAAATAAAATTGGTTTGTTCAAATATTATTTTATCATAAATTCGAACTAAGCTGGTCCACAAAACACCATAACAAATGCAGCAATATAGTCATAGATGGCAATGTCAAATTGGAAACTTGGCTAGCAGTAGCAATTGAGTGGCAGAGCATAATCTCGATTGCTAACTCATGAATTCGCAAGCTCTTTTTCACAAATAGGTGCGTCATGAATTAACTGGAATCGGATTAATCTTGCAAAGCTTATTGACAACGCCATTATATAAAAACACCATTATAATTAGTATATTCAGGGTGGGTAATCCACTTTTATATGGTCCCAAGCTGCACCAATCTCAATCTAAACACAACATATATGAATGGTTTTATCTTAAAATTATAACGGTGTAGAAGGATTATACTCCACGGACTCCCCTCTTCTCTGTACTGTTTGAAAGTCTAGTCCATATAAGATGAAGCAAATTCAATAGTAACTTTCCATTTAGAATAAAACGTTGAAACTATATTGACAAGCTTACTTGAAAAAAGAACCTACACAACAGTTCCTAACAATATGTAGATATGGCACAACCACGATTAAATTAAACACTAAGCAGCCATGCAACCGTTAAGAAATGTAGAACAATTTATGTATGGGAACCACATTCAACCTTCTGAGATTCAAGGACAAGTCTTGCAGTTTCCATGGCTACCTGGCCACTGACATAGTGCTGCCGACACACTGGCATGTAGACATCAACTCCCCCAATCAACTCAATCTGTGTCTCTTGTGTCTTCCTCAGGGTAAAGGAAGCACGCTTCGCACAGATTTCACATCTAGCAGTTAACTTGGTAACAGAGTCGGCAAGGGGAATTATATCAAGGACAGAACCAAAGCTCCTCCTGCCAGTAAATGTAGAAAGCCATCAACATGGACTTGACAGTTAAAATTCAACCATAAACTACTGATAAAACACCTAGTAACACAAGTTGTGTTGAATACACGTACAAACCAACAGAACTTATATTGAACAACATCAACTTGCTCTTTAATAGGAACCCAGCTTAAGAGAAGAAAACTAATTAATATTACCTCAAATAGTTACCATCTAGTCCTGCAACTATTACTGTCTTTCCATCATTATCAGCAGCTTGACGGCAGAATTCATAAAGGTCGTCAAAAAATTGAGCTTCATCGATACCAATCACATCCAACTGTCATCATCTATCAGTTGTGAGAGTAAAACAAAATGCAGACAGTAAACTATGATACATGGAAGGGAAGGGAGAAAAGTAACAACAGCCATGCAACTCACAAACCAAACCAATCATATAATTATCAATTAGAATCCATGTACACAACTACACATTGAATTTTCTGCTGTATAAATAATTAGATACATGTTACAGAACTTCAAACTATGATACCTGCTCATAAGCATCAACTCCAAACTTCTGCTTGAACAATGATAAGTTTGACAGTGCCCAACATGGTAACTTTGCACCATCATGTGTAACAATTGAGTCTAACCCGTATCTTGTATCTTTGCTTGACTTAATTATTGCCACATTTCTGCATCAAAGAAACATAAAATTTAAATATGTACCTCATGAATCATGTTATTGTTAAGCCATTCAATGAGTTTCCTGAAAGACAAATGAGTATAACAATGAGGAACTTGCTATACATCCAGAGTCATCACAGCAACATAAGCTTCACATATTATTTTATCAGTGTTACCATCCAGAATCAACTTCCCTTTCTTTCCAAAAAGATGAAACTATGAAACCATTTTGTTTCCGACCACTTGGCTCAATTGGAAAATTGAACTCAAGGTAAGTAGACTTTAGATACAGTGTAGGAATTCAAAATCCACCCAAGCATTTTATGCTCAGAACCAAGCCATCATTCCTATGCTCAAGACGAGATTAGACTCGTACCCAAAGGAAGTGAGAGGGCCCCATTGTCTTCCCCAAAAAACAAAAACTTTTTTCCACAAGGGAAACTATATCCAGGGACTCCATTTTTGTGGGAGGGAAGCAGCAAAAGCAACCATGACAATGAGGTTCACCATTCATGTAAATATAGGATACAGAAAATCTTTTATAAAAGTCAAAATTTTGATAAAAAGCCATATTAAAGGATTTAAAAAGAAAATTGTAGATAATCTAGCAAAAATTAGGTCAACAATCAAATCAATGCCCAACCTTCAACGGGAAAATGTTGTTTTTGTAAAAAAGAAGGCTAGCAACACTCTCATGATTTAGTGATGAGACTCACCAAAATTTGTGGTTTCCCATAAATTTCAACTAATAATAGAATGTTAGAGAGAGTATCGCTAGTATTCCTCTTTTGTAAAATATAACATTTGACAAATATCATACAATGAATCTTAAAAATGTCTGCTTAAAAAATAGTGGGTGTTTGGGACATAAAATCTGAATTTTGTGATAGAATGGAAAATTTAAGAAAACAAAGGGAATTTTGGCTAGACATCATATGATATTAACTTCCCTTTATTTGAACTTGCAATATTTATTACAAATGTTCAAGGATGATAAATGCAATATATATATATATATATATATATATATATAATATATTTTACTCCAGGAGTAAGTCTATCTAGAAAATTTGAAAATCATTTGATACTTCGTTTCATTAATTTGAATCAATGTATAAAATGACTTTATGATTATCCGTCAATTTGAATTAATGAAACGAAGTATCAAATGATTTTCAAATTTTTTAAAAATTTGCAGATTTGATCTATGCATTAAGAACTTTAAATTGAACAGTTGGATCGTTGAAATTTGGTGTAGAACATGAGTTATTGAACGGAGTAAGTTTAGGTAGACTTACTCCTAAAGTAAAAGGATTCCTCCTCTCTCTCTCTCTCTCTATATATATATATATATATAGAGGAGGATTATATATATATATACAACTTGAAGGTAATCAAAGTGTTCATATTTTAGTATATTTTGAAATGTATATATGACGTCAATTTTATTTTATGAGAATGAAGTATCAAATCATCTTAGATTAATGTAAAATTTGGTATGTATGATCTAAGAGATATTAACTTTTAATCTAACGGTTGAATTTTCAAAATTCACATTTAATATAAAGTTATTGAATGGTGTAAAACTTAGTAAAAGTTACACTGGTGTCGTTTGAACCATCTTCATATATATATATATATATATATAATGGAAGATTGTACTTTTTCAACAGGTATGAAAACAGGTAATTATATTTGACACGGTTATGTTATATTTGTATACTCACCTGATAGTTGACACCTTGTTTTATACTGTCAATTTTTAGTTATAAATACTACCAAAATTAAAGTAGTTTTATTACAGATTGACAGAATGATCTTGAGAGGGGAAGAGAGAGAGAGAGAGAGAGCAAATTATTGATGATGAGTAATAAACTATCTCAAACATTTACATAATCATTCTCTTGCATGTTTAATTTATTTTTCCCTTTCAAGCAGGGGAAATAGCATAGAAGCATGAAAGATAAAACACTAGACCATCAAAAAGAGAGTATAAAATGATTATGATCTGATAAATATGGAGAACTTTGAGCATAAAGAACTGGATCATGCTACTGGCATGCATACCCTAGATCTATTCATAAATTTTGCGTACTGATTCTTAGGAGAGAAAAAATAACAAGTTGGCTATCACCTAACAGTTTGCCAAATCCTAACATTGGAGGCAAATTGTTCCTATGTTACTGAAGAATGTATGTACTAGTATAGCTCAAAGTCCCATAGGTTTCACTGTTCCACTTCAAATCTACAACCTATAAATCAGAAGCTTTCCTTGCACAGAACTCTCAAGACCTTACTCAAGTTTTGCCAGGCTTGACCTCAAAGCTGAGAATTTCTGACCAGTGATCATTGAAACCAATATGGCATTCCAAAAAACAAGTCTCCCCCATTCAAGTACAAAACACGCAAAGACTTTGGACATCAAAACTTTTGTACCACTAGTTGCAAGCATGATACACCTATACGGCTATAACTGTAAATGAAGATAGCCATGACAAACTACATTCAAAAATCAATAATTCAAGCAGAGAAACAAAGATAAACAATAAAGAAACAAACAAAAAAAAAATTAATAATGAAACTAAAGACAGAGAGGAGATGAGTTGACCTGCCGTTGGCGGTTTCCGATTGAATCCGACGAAGGAGCGAAGTGGTTTTTCCGGCGAACATGGGGCCCACTATGACGTGAATCTCGCCGGAGCGAGGTGGCGAGGGCTCCGTTTGCAAGTTTGGATCTTGAGAGGTGCAAATGAAATTATTAAACGAAAAGGGAGGTGGGTTGAGGCGGAGACGATGATTGGGGATTCGAGGGCGAAAAGAGAAACTAGTTGTCGATTGAGAAGGCAGTGAGAAAAGAGCGAAAGGAGAGGCTTTGGGAGAAAAAGGTGAGAACTTGGGGTTGAGGAGGGACTTCATAGCGTGCAAGGGTTTAAGGGTTTTGCAACTGTGAACACAGATTTCGCATTTTATGCACTTTGAGTTGTGGAGGGAAATCTCAGGGCAGGCAGAATAGTTATCAAAATATAAGAATAAAGCACTTAGATTCTAAGGAAAGTGATAACATGTTCTTGAAAGTCCTCCCAGCGATAACTCACCCTAAAATTTAATGCGGCTGCATACACAAGACAAGATTCGAATCTCTAATCTTACTTAAACATGGATCAACCGTTATCGTTGAACCACACGCTTGAAATTATATTTCTTAGGTTTTAATTTCAAAGCAAATAGAATTTGTTTGTAAATTAGATTAAAGAAAATGTTATAATTCATTTCACTAATTTTCCTTTCATGCATCTACTAATTATTCAAATTTAATATTATATTATTGTTAATCTAATAAGTCACGAATATATTATAGCCCTAATCTATTATATGAGAAATTTTAAACTTTTAAACTAAAGTTTCAATTTCTTGATAAAGTTAATTAAGTGAATTTCATTAAAATTTGGGATTTTAACATTAACTAATAATTTTGATATTATTCTTAACAATAAGTGTTATTAGGGCTCCTTTTCTAGGTTGTAATTTCAAAAGTGTTTTCTAATATCAATCAATTCTACAAGATCATGCATTGGACAATCAAGTCAAAACAAACATTAAGAGTATGAAAGAAAGCAACTAACTAAAGAAAACACTTTATCAAATAATATGAAAGTTTACATGGAGTAGAGTCAACTACATCAATCTCCAACATGGGTGAATTAGTTGCTCATGGATAATTTAACAAATAGAAAAATGGAAAAAAGGTCCTTGAGAAAACTTTCATATGTTCTTCAAGGTAGACCTAATTTTCTCTCTCTATAAGTTATGAATAAAAATTTATTTTGGGGCCTTTTATATGTCCTAAGACATGGGCCTCTAAGCGTTACTCACTTAAGCAACAAAAAATGACTGATAAGTGTCTAATTAGTTTGATGAAATTTAAATTTGAGACACTTATCTAGCACACTTTTTGTATATATTGATATAATTTTGGCAAATACATTAAGAATCAAAGAGGGGCTCTTAATTTACATTATTACATGGAGTGATGAGTTTTTTATCAGATTTTCCTCTTATTTTGTAGTTTTTGAAATCTGGAGGCAAACGGCTGAGCGCCTTGAAACGGCTGAGCGCTTTCAAGGTTAAAATCAAGTTTTTGAAATCTGGAGGCAAACGGCTGAGCGCCTTGAAACGGCTGAGCGCTTTCAAGCTAGAGAGCTCAACAAATGCAGCAAAGGAGAGGCGCTCAGCCACTCTAAGGCGCTGAGCGAATTTGGCCCTGGAAGAAGGAGTGCTCTCTGTCTCCTAGGCGCTCATCGGATATGAAGCACCCAGCCCCTTGTCCTTGCTTAACAGTGAAGAATCTCCAAGGCGCTCAGCAGATTTGAACGGCTCAGCCCTTTAGGTTACTTCATGGTGAAGGATTCTTCAATCCGCTCAGCCGTTTCAAGGCGCTGAGCGGATTCATCTCTTTCCTGTTCACTCTGTTTTAATTTTATCACATATATAAGGGCAGAGGAGAGAGAAAAGACGAGCATCTGGAGCTGTACGAAGAGGAAACAGAGAAAGGGGAGAAACAAAGCACTTTGGAGCTCGTGGGGACGCGATTCTTCGAAGGATTTCTTTCTTCTTCCACCTTTCATCTTGTTATTGGGTGATTTCTTGTATTATGGAGAGCTAAGCTCTAGGGTTGGGATTGATGTAATCGTCGAACTCCTTTGTATTCCTTTTTGATTCATATATATATCATCTATTACTCTATGTCATTGATTTGTTTCTGTTCTTAATGCTTTGATAAACTGATCACTTATCTCTGATTTTGAGTTTAGAATTTGGTTGGGAAACGTTTTCTAACTCTAGACTTGGAACGAATCACCTATTAGTTTTGAGAGCCAGGGATGGTCTTGAAATTAATAGTTGCAACAAGTTCTGATTCTTAATGCAGGATATTGAACTGAATGAAGTGAGGAATCATTCATTGAGTTAAATATCTCATAATTTCTTATGCCAAGGGATTGGGTTTGAATGAAAATAAAGAACTCAATGGCAATGAGTAATGGAATCTTTAGAAAGAATCAATAGGAATGCATAGGAGGGAGATTGATGAAGTCAATTCCCGACTGTTTCTCATATCTGTTTTTCCACAAATTAAATTATCTTTTGGTTACTTAAGTTGATCAATCATCCATATCAAAATTGAATATGTGTAATTATCCAAGTTTTACATTCATAAGCATCAATTATTATAATAGAAGTCATATCTTATTACACAAGTCCCTGAGGTTCGACAACCTTTAAATTATACTACAGAGACTTGGGTGCGCTTGCCTATAAAATCAACAATGACTTGCTTAAGCTAGCCTTCATATTTTATCATAAAAGCTCTTCGATCACTCTCACTTAGACAAAAGGTGTGGCTCGCTTCAAGCGAGCTATTCACAAATTTTATAGAGCTTTTGATCTTGCTCACTTAAGTGAGAAGATAACCTTGCTTAAGTGAGCCTTCATTGTGTGGTTTGGTATGCTCTTTGTCAGGTGAAACATAGACTGGTAGCCTTCATTCTTCACTAGCATAACAATGTTAATATTAATTTTTAAGGATAAAATATTGAGTAAATATCAAACTTGGTCCTTGAAAGATGGTAGAGGTGGCCAATAGGTCCTTGAAAAATTTTGTGACATCTAGGTCCTTAAATTTTAATTTCATTATGCATGTTAGTCCTTCTATTATACTTAGTTACTAACTTTGTTAATTTTCTTGAACAGTCAGTTAAGTATTAAGTTGGTTCCTATTATCTCTTCCAGTTGGTTGTTCTCTTTTCTAATCACCTAATATAAACCATTATGTAATGTTTTAATACTTCCTAATCAACAACAAATACTTTGTGGTATTTAAATATTCTAGCTATGAGTGCTTTAGTTAAAATGGTAGGTTAAGTTTTGTAGAGTTTTCTATAGTTGAATTTTCTTGTAGGGTTTAGGATTTTAACTTGCATAACAAAGTTAAAATTTAGGAACTTATATGGTATAAAAAAACATTTTAAGGGCCTATTAGGCACGTACACCATCTTTTAGAGACCAAATTGGATGCTTACTCATAAAATTTTATAATCTTTATCATGAAGTTGGTGTGAAAATTCTACAAGTGTATAAATTTCGTCGAGTTCTAAAATTATTGAATTCATAGGAGCTACGTCTTTGGCTTATGTATTATCGCTATTTAAATAAAAATTAAAAAATTGAGAAAAGGATAATTCAAAATTAAATTTTTAACACAACTAAAGAAGATAATTCAAGAAAGTAATTAAAAATAATTCAAGATCAAGAAAAAAAGATTTAGATAATATTTTTAAGATATTCCATGACTTAAACTGGCATAGTAGTTATGTTCAATTAGACTCATTCAATTTTATCCTTTTTACCCTCTTAGAATTAATTCTACTATCGTGAATTAAATTAAGACTTGGATTCCTTAATTATATGACCAGCATGTTAGGTTCTCCTTTCAATTCTTCCTTATACATTTCTAACTATGTTAAATGGTAGCTAATCGTTAACATATATAAAGTAATAATGAAAAATCAAGGATACGCTAAAGAACCTCAAAAAAACTTAAATTAAAATAATCATTGTCAATGACTAAGACCCAATCCTACAATAAAGAACTATTCACACATGTTCATGAGCAATTCTCACAAAATACATAAAAAAAAGAAAGTAAACAAATTAGGAGAGAGAAAGACAAAAATGAATCATAGGCTACTCCAAATCTCAAACATAAATGGCTTGATGGCTTTTTCAGCCTTTATGTTTAAAACTTAGGAACTACTAAAATTTAGTGAAAAGATAGAAACATTAAAATTTGAAAATTAGAAACAAGCTAATTGGCATGCCCATGCCATTTGCAGCATTGGGTTCCTCTTATAAATCGATCTGCATGCTTGTGTTATTTGCCTTTAGTATAATATTTCTATTTTTCATTTGGGATTGAAATCACTTGTCCCATTTTCCTATCTTTAACCTTATCTCCCCAATCAAATTATGACAAATCAATTAAAATGTCTAACTCCTGTGAAAAAAATTTAACTGAATATTATCCTCATTAGGGTAACATCCTTTCATAGCTTTCTATATTCTCTCTGCATGTTGAAAGACTTGATTTATCATCTTATGTTTGCTTTTCATGAAATAATACCAATGAAAGTGGAGGGTTTCTTCAAACAACAAGGAGTTTGGTCAATTATTCAATCAAATGATATTAAGCATGTTTCCCATCTCTTCTTGAGAAGTAAGCGGGCTATTTCTTTGCAAAATTGTGCTCAATTTCATATGTGGCAATTTTGTCAAGATCTCTTCGTTAGTTGGGGAAAGAATTCGCACGAATCGAATTTTTTTGAGGAATATGTCAGGGATAAGTGGATTTGGTTAAACAATGTGTGGTTGATAAACAAGGATCAGCTCCACCATTAACATGTTATCAATCTCATACACCACACTAGAGTACTCATCTATGAATCAGAGATAGTTAATATTCATCAATATTCATATTATTCCTATTTTGCTTCCTATTTTTGTTGTTTAACATTTCACCATACCACTTTTGAAATTACTAGGATAGTCAGATGACATGACAAAGTGGAGCATGATGAATTCTCTATACTTTAATTTCGCATTTCAATTTCTTACAATGTTAACTCAAAATTGCAATTATTTCTTGGGTTTTATTGTTGATAAATATGGTTATCTATTGGATTTTCATTAATGTCTAAGATTTTGGATATTATGGTGTCACTATTTGTTTGGAAATTTCCTAGTGGATAATCAGGTTTGGCATGTGGGTGCATTCTGGTGTGACACATGATATCAAGAATATGTTATGGTGGAGAAGGTGACAATAGGAGGAAAACGAAGAAGTTACACAAACTATGCATTAATTTTTAGTAAATTATTTTCACACATGAGCTGAATATTTTAATTGATGTGTCATAATTTTATTGAGGGACAAGGTTAGAGATAGAAAAATGAGACAGGTGATTTGAATTCGCTTTCAAATAAGTCTCAAAGGTTAATATGCACTAAAAAAACACCATTTAGTACCAACATCAACCATTATAACATATGCACATAAAAAATACTTATGACATTAAAAGTTCAACAAAAGAGAAATATGCAATGAAAAGAATCAAAATAAAGACCTAAGCAATTATTTGTGTAAGTAGGTCTAATTAAAATGCTTTCTAATTATCAACTAAATATAATTCATTATAAGTTGTGAGCTTTTTATTTGAAGAGTCAAATTTTAGTTTATTTATGGTTAAACTACTTTTTAGTTTCTCAATTTATTTTATTTATTCAATTTGGTTTATCTATTGTTAAAAGAATCTAATTTGGTCCCTTAATTTTTTTAAAATAATGCAATGTGATCATTTTCATTGATATGAGACTAATAATGTTAAATTTTTATACATGTAGTGATATGTATTATTTCCTTATTGTACCACATGTACAAGAAGTTAGCACCATTAAAATTAATTAAACAAAAAAAATCACATTACACTATTTTAAAAAATTAAAAGATCAAATTGAATATTTTAATAATAAAAGAAATATATTAAACAAATTACATAAAATAAAGGAAGAAATGAGTAATTTAACCTTTATTTATCTTTTTTAAGATGTTGCTCTTACATCCTTTCCGAGTATTTATTATTGGTTGTTTCTATTAGTGATCTCCACTTTTTTTTTTTGTTTTGGTTGTGACAACTATTATACACAAAGAACAGAAGGAAAAGAAAAAAAAAGGAGTTGAATTTATTGACTGGTATCCGGAATAAAAATGATTGATTTTTATCATAGTTTAACTGGACTTGGGCCAAGCATATAAATCAAATCAAATTGATTTGAATTGACTTATTAAACTCATTGAATTGGTTTCATAAACAATGATCCTACTTACAAAGTTATCTTTTCTAAAAGAGAAGTGATAGCTACACCGTCTCAATTATACATTATACATTATATATTATCTTCTGACGTTTAAATTAACGATAATATCAAATTAATTTTTTTTAATATTAAATCAATCTATACAAATATAACTTTCAATGTTTTGAGGATTTTTCAGACCATCACTTTCGAAGGATTAAGCATTTTCCTTTCTAAACACACAACAACAAATCAAGCAAATTGTTTTTTTGTTTTATTTCTTCATATGGAACAATGAGGCACAGCTCCTTAAAAATTCGGCTATTTTTTTTATTTTTTATTTTAAAACCATTCAAGTGGTAGGACCAAACTTTTTTATTAAAGTTCAAATTCAATTTTTTTGTCTAATTGTGTATAAATGTAAGTAATTTTGCTAGGTAATAAACTGTTTTTTTTTTTGTGTGTGTATATATATATATATATTTGTCTAAACATTTTTTATTTTTTGAAAATTGTAGAATGTTTTTTTGACAGGAAAAAAAATCAAATCAAATAATAATAGTTAAATTTGCTCTTTTAGTAATTAAAAGTCAAATACATTTTTACTGTGTTTTTTTTTTATAAATAGTAAAAAAGGATGAAGAAAAAGTGTCTTTCATTTTACTACCAAGGAAAATCACTAGTCATATAGTAATGATGAATAAAATGCAGAATAAGAAAACTAAGCTAATATTATTTATCTATATAATTGGATGCTGAAGAAGTATATAAAGTAATAAATGTTTGATAATGGAGAGAGAAAAATAATAGTAGACCGAAACTAAATAGAATGGAGCAGAGTTGTTTTAATAACAGCATTTATGCTATGCACAAGTAACGTTATCTCTAACTTTTGCTGAGTTAATGGGATGGATTGTCATCATAGTTGGCTTATGGCTGTTTCCAATCATTTAGCCCATATTATAATCACTCTAACCACAATTTTTGTTATTCTTATTTAATTTGGTTAACATAACATTCATATATGCCTAAACTAAGCACCATCTTATCACAAAGCTAGGAATCCAGGAAACATTTGACCCCATCACACATTATTACCGGCACGTGGGAATCAATTATGCAAAAACCTCTATAGCTGGAAAAAAGAAACCAATTATGCAAAAATTAAAAATAAAAAATTTGAATCCAAACCATAGCAACCACCCATTTTACCAAGGCAGTTATCTATTCACGAGGTAAGCTTCAACATCAATTTCACCAATTAACTCCCCTCATGCTTTGCCTTGAAAGGAACTCCTTTGTCACCTTCCACTGATTTTTATTTTATTATTTTTCAATTATAATATTAATATAAAACATTCACAATTAAAAATGATGATTAGTTTTTGTTAAAAATAAATAAATATTCTCTATCTTAACATAATTTATTTCATATATAAAATTAAGGTTTGAATTCTAAATAATTTAGTTAAGAGATAGCATCAATGATCACTTTTGGATAATGGGAGTGTGAAAATTAAGATTACAACCGCAGTGTGTTGTTGTGTTGTATGTAACTTTACTGCATCTCTCACCACTCACCACTCACCACTCACCATTGACCAACCTTCCTTACCCACAAGGGATTGCTTGTCTTTGGTGTGCCAGTGGTGCAATATCCTTTATCCGCATAGTTTGTGGAAGCAACAAATTACCAAATAAGTTTTAGTTTTTTTATTCGGGAAGAACAAGCAGAACGGACCAACATTATAAAATGTAAAAAAGAAGAAAATAATAATAATAAAATAAAGATCATAGAAGGGGGGGATTTCTCTTACCTTATCAACTTGGGTACCATGATTGTAAATTTTAATGGTTGACGTTTGATGCGTGTTCCTCTGCAACTTGTCTACTACCCTTACCTTACCCATTTTGGGTGCAAATCAAAGCACTAAGCAAACACACAAGGGCTTCAGGTTGAAATTTGGACCCGGTTGGTGTTGTGTTAGCTAGGAGAGTTGCCCTAAATCACACTCAATCATATATATTCATTGTTTTCTTTTGATCTATTTGCTTGGTTCATTTGAATAACGAGACTTCAATTTCTTGTTTGTGTTTAAAACTTGTTCGTTTATATGTAAAATAAAGCAAAAGTGGTCATTTTACTTTGTTCTTTAGGTTAAAAAAAACATATGCAAGAGAGATAAAAGTGAAGGACGATTTGGAAAGTCAAAATATGTTGCCAATTTTTAAAAGACAAGACTGAGATGTGTCGTAAATTTAAGACTTACCCTTTCGCAATTCGTAAAAGTCTAACCTATTCCACAACCTTTTTTTTTTTTTTTTCTTCTTCTTCTCTCTCTTAATTAAAGTATACACTATCCAGGCTATCCACAAATAACCTAATTCGTTGGGGAAATGTTGTTACTAGAATGCACCAAATCCTTCCTTCAATTTCGCAAATTGTTTTCTGGTTAATCTTTTTTTCCTTTTATTACAATTATTGTTCAATTTTCTGACACTGTTAAAAGAAACAGGACCAGTGAAAGAACCATGTTCTGGGTAGTGGGGAACAACATCTTTTATTATTATTATTTTTTTCACCATAATCATAATTTATCATTTTAAATTTTAGTCCTTATTTCAGTTGAGATTCTTTTGAGGATAAGTTTAGTTTTGAGACTGTCTCCTTTGATTTTTTATTTTTTTTATAATTATAATTTATTTCATACTTTAGATAATTTAGTTAAAAGACATAGGTTATTAACACTTGTGTCATGTTAGTAATCGAATATATTTTTTCACACAAAATCTAACCTCTATAATTTGTTAAAATATAAGAGGAGCCAAATAAATTCTATTGCCAATGAAAAGAAAAGGTGAATAAACAAATGAGAAGAATCATATGAGAGTTAAAGATGTGTCCATGAATTTGTAAAGCTAGCAATGCCAATGAGGTTATGCACATGATGCATTGTGCACAAATGTATGTTCCTCTTCATCTACCTATTGTATTCTTCGGATGAGTGGGTGCACAAGCAATCCCTTCTGTCATTGGCACATAACCCTGCTTATTTTTTCATTTTTATATTTTAAAGTTGATGGAAAGGTGATTATTTTGTACAGCAACCACTCTTATTTTATATTAATATTTGTGCATATTCCTCCTAGTTGCTTGATTTTGCCGGTTCACCTCGAAACTCATGACACTTCCAAATTTCTTCCAATTTATCATCATCTAATTGCTCATTTTATTACATTCTATCACCATCGTCCAATTCATATGATCTTTGGTTTCTTTGACCCCAAGCAATGGTTACAGAATATCTGTTTCATTGTTTGGTTCCAAGTTCCAACCCACTTTACCTCATTTTATCAGCATTGCCATTAGAGAGAAACAACAAGTATTAGAAATAAAAAAAAAAATTAAACAAAGCATAAAACGCTGACCTTTTTTTATTTTTGGATCGGAGAATATTTATTATAATGTAACATATCATTTGAAGCATATATTATATGGATGATTCACATTGATGAGAAACTCACAAGAATGTCACTATATAAGTCTTTTAGTTTAATTTATATGCACTTTTAATAAATAAAAAAACTTGTATATAAAAAATCTAATTACCCTATCATATTAGCTAATAAATTGGATTACTAAACATACATATCAATTGATATAGAATTATTTAAGTTTGATTAGTAATATCGAACTCATGTATTAAATACATAATTATATTAAATGTTTTAAAAAAAAATCACACGTAGTAATCTTGTTTTTTTACACCACTCGTAATAATCTTATCTCAATTATATAAAATTACCTTTAGAAAAGAATACCAATAATTAAATAATCAAATCTAAGATATCTAACTAAAAAAAAAAATTACACTCAAAATATATGTTGACATAAAGTTTTGAATTGTCGAAATGGGTCAATTGGGATTGGAGAAACATCCCAAAACAATAGGGTGTGGGAGACTATCAATCATTTTCTGAAAACAAAAGGGTAAAAGAAATTTTCTTTTTTCTCTGATTTTAAAAACTTAAACTTGGAAAATGGCCAATGGGCAGTCACCGTCTTCTCTCTCCTTTGGTGTAACTTTCATACACACAAGAGGATAGATAGGAGAACCTCTCTCTCTCTGTTTCTCTCTCTAAATAAATATAAAAATAAAAAAAATGTGTATATAATTATATATACCTTGCCTGATGCAAATTCCTTTTTCTCATACACATCCATCGCTCTGTGTGATACACAACTTTCCTTCATTATATATATTTATCTGTTTGAATCAACCATAATTGTAAAGACAAAAGAAACAAAGGGAACCAAAAAAAAAAAAAAAAGAGGGCCTCTCGCCCTCTCTGCTTATTATGCCTTCTCTCAGATCTTAGATTTCATCAATTTCTCATCTGGGTTGTTGTCTTCATTTGGTAAGTTTTCTCTTCCAATGCTTTTTTGCTTTTCTTCTCCAATGACTTTCCTGCTCACTGCACTCCTTCCATGTTGATTGAAGTTTGATACTTTTTGCAATTTTGGATTATGGGTTGATCCACTTTGGATTCATTTCAGCTCCCATCCTATTAGAATTGTCTCTTTCTCACGTCTCCAACGTCATGGTTTTCTGTGAAGCCATCTGAAAAACGTAGATTTACTTTTCTGCATGTTCTGTTCCAATCAGCATTATGATGATGTGTTGTGATGTTTATTGTTTCATTGAATTATGTGTCCTATTGCTGATTAAGAAACGGGTACGAGGTTTTGTGTTGTGCTGTTCACTTGTGCCTGTGGAGATTGTTTGACAACGTGAGTTACTGATTGGATCCGATGTGTTTCTTTTTTCTGTTTCTACTTTTGGTGTATGTTTCAACGGTTGTTGGAGAAGAATTGTGCAGTTTTGAGATTTATGTTTTGGATTAAACTAAATTGTGGTTGGAAATAGGATTGATTGGAGTGTGGGGAAGTGCGGAATGGAAATGGACCCTGGCAAGCTTTTCATTGGCGGGATTTCATGGGACACAAATGAAGACCGACTCAGACAGTATTTCCAGAATTTTGGAGATGTAGTTGAAGCTGTGATCATGAAGGATCGCATCACGGGGCGTGCCCGTGGATTCGGATTTATTGTTTTTGCTGATCCTTCTGTTGCTGAGCGAGTTGTTATGGAGAAGCATGTCATAGATGGTAGAACTGTAAGTTTGTCTATAATTCTTTATGTTTATATTTCTTTGAGATATCCATGCTAGACCCTCAATCAAGAGCACTGTTCCCCAACAAAAAAGATTGAAGCAAGTGAATTCAGAAGCGTTTTGTTGTAATCTTTGCTGCATTATGTTGCAACTTTAGTTTTAGAATTAGGGACACCAATGGTTACAAATACAACATTGATTTGGCTCGGTAGAACTTTCATTACTCTCGGTTTTGGTTTACTTGCATGTTACAATTGAGTTTTAAAACTTATGGATGAGATTCAATGTAATGTGTTCTGGTGATGCAAGTTTGAGTCGTTGAGGCAACTTAAAGGTTAGTTGGAATGATAGCAATGGTTAGACAAATATGTTAGACACGAATAATTGATGCCAGAAGTTTATGGGCTTATGCAGTACGTGGCACTTCATTCTTTGAAGAGCACAAATATCATAGTTGCAAAAACCAGAGAAGTAAGAAATTTTGACCAGATACAAACTACAATTGTTATTTCAAATCACTAAGAGATTGTAATGGAAAATATGTGTTGTGGCGCATTTGGACAAGGGAAGTCTTTATTTACGGTATTATGTTTCTGTAAGCTGACAGCTACACCAAAGTCTTTATTGAAGACATACTTCCCTTGTGATTCCTAATCAAGGGTCACCAGATATTTGAGCTGCTGAATCATTTTGTGAGAAATTTTAGGGCGAAAATAGTGGAATTAATAGGAAAGGAGATAATGAAGAAATTGTGAAATTTTTTTCTCCTTCCCTTTCTTCTCCACTTCAAAAGATCAATACTTACAAGTAGAACAGAAGTAGCCTGTTAGCTTAATTTCGGGGTATAGGGATTAATATGATGAAGAAACATGGAAAAGAATATAATTTGAGTCTCAACTCTCTAATAGTGAAGTTGTTAACAAAATGTTGTGTATATGTGTTGTCCTAAGACAATATTTTTACTAAGTGATCATTCTCTTTCATAGACTGAATTTTGTTTCTGTAGTGCCCTACTTATTTATAATTTAGTCCAAGGTGTTAGCTGAGTTTTATTGCATGTGTTCCCCGTGCAGGTTGAAGCAAAGAAGGCTGTCCCTAGAGATGATCAGAATGTTCTGAACAGAAGCAACAGCAGCAGTCATGGGTCACCTGGTCCGACTCCTACCCGCACAAAGAAAATATTTGTTGGAGGTCTGGCATCCACAGTTACTGAGAGTGACTTTAAGAAGTACTTTGATCAATTTGGAACGATTACAGATGTTGTTGTGATGTATGATCATAACACTCAAAGGCCTAGAGGTTTTGGATTCATCACATACGATTCTGAGGAAGGAGTTGAGAAAGTGCTGCATAAAACTTTCCATGAACTGAATGGTAAAATGGTTGAGGTTAAGAGGGCCATTCCGAAGGAATTATCTCCAGGTCCAAGTAGAGGACAATTAGGTGGATATGTTTATGGTATAAGTAGAGTTAGTAACTTTCCTAATGGTTGCATTCAAGGATATAATCCAAACCTTGTTGGTGGGAATGGACTAAGAATAGACGGTAAGATGAGTCCCGTTACTGTTGGCCGTAGTGGATATCCTCTTTTGAGTCCTACTTATGCGACAGGACTCAACTTTGAGCCACAATTGAGCCAAAATGAAAGTGCAAACTTCACATCTAACTTTGTCTTAGGACGGGCATTGAACTCTTATAGTGCAAGTCCAAGCAGGTACAATAATGCCATAGGTTATGCTGGTTCAAGTGTTGGCAACAATTCAACCATAAGTTCTACAAATCAAAATTTGTGGGGGAATGGAAACCTTAATTATGCTACTAACCCTACAAGCTCTGATGCTTTTGTTGGTTATGGAGGTGAAAATTCAAGCATGGGTTCTTTTGGTAGTATTGGATCACTTTGGAGTTCCTCACTTGGTACTGATCAAGCTGGAACTATTGGCTCTGGATTTGGTAGGAGCAGTCTTAGTTATAGGTCTGGAGATATGATTTTAGGGTCAAAAACAGTAGGTTATGGAAAAGGCAGTGAAAGCATTGCTGCATCAGCTTCATCATTTGCTTTATCAAATGGCAGTTATGATGAAGCATACAAAGATTCTTATGAAACTGGACCATTTTATCAGGACCACACTTGGAGATCATCAGCTTCAGAACTAGAGGATTCTGACTCTCTTGGTTTTGGCCTTGAAAATGTTGTTTCAGATTTAATGAGCAAAAGCTCTGGTGACCACATTAGGGCTTACGCTGTTGCTGCTAATAGACAATCAAATAGAGGTAGAATGCATCACTTTTATCATAATTTTAAAACAAAAGAATTATTGTTTAAGGTTCTATACCCACCTTGGCAGAGCTAAATTAATTCAAGTTTAGATTTAAATTTGATTTAGGCTCAAATCAGTAAGATTACAAATGAAGATCCAGATTCTTTATTTTATATGTTTAAAAGATGATGGTTCTGTGAACTGTGGAAGAGATATTTGGCTATGCTAGCATTATAGTTAATTGTTGTTGAATTAGATTTCTTAGGGTGTGCTTCAGATTGCAATATGTAAATATAAGCCCCTAAGTTTCTTGAACTTTCAAAATGCAGTGAGATAAACTATAAGATATAACTTACCACAAAAGGGAGGGCTTGTGGGGGGGGGGGGGGCGGGTTTCCTGTA